CCGTCTCCCGGCCGGGAGATGGGGGGGCCTGGGGAAGGTTTTCCCCAGGCCGGGCCGAGCCGATCTCTGGCTCGGCTGCAGGTTTTGCTGTAACTACATTCACTAGAAACTGCCCAGTGAAGAAAGAGAGAAGCCCTGGACTTGCAGCGGGTTGGAGCAGCGACCACACGCTCCAGAGCAGCCATGAAGAACTTTCCATCGCAGACGGCTCCAGCTCCTGTTCGGCAGAGATCTCTAAACCATCTACAAAAGCCTGGGCAAGATTTTAACTCTTTCATTACCCAGATGAGACTTGCGGATTAATCTTTTTATCCAGAGAGAGAGAGAAAGAAAGATCAACATGAAAAGAGACTTCATAAACTACCAGTGACAAGAAAGAAAAGAAGCTTCAGGAAAGGTAGAGAATTAAGAAGATGCTTTAATTAAGCTGAAATATCTCCCTGTTAAAACTATGGAGATGGACAATAAAGTCCTGAAAAGAACTCCTTTAATTCATGATATAGGATCTAGAGAGGAATAGTGTTCAAAGTGTAAATTTGAGTAAAGAGTAATTATAGTATAGTGAAGTACTAAGAGATTAAAAGCCTTGAGAGGCCATGAGAAAACTGTTGAGAGATTTGAAGCCCTGAGAGGCCATGAGAAAACTGTTTTCTAGTGAAGCTCACAGAAACAGATGAAGAAGACTTTTTTTTGCCTTTGAATAACTTATCCTTAAAAATGTTATCTCTAGACACATGGCCCATACTTACTTCAGAGTGATGTGAAAATGGGAGGAGTGAACTCTAATAATAGCAGCTCTGAGCAGCTAACATTAGGGCAATAGAAAACTATAACAAAAATAGTTTTCTTGTGAGAAACTCCATAAATTAACAGGAAGAAACTTCTGTTTCTCTATAAAGACTGGTGAACATACTAGCAAGAATTGGGACTGTTTTAACCATCAGAGTTCCAGAGTTTTTGTCTCTGTTGTCATGTGAACAAGAGAATAGTGGGTAGATAGGAGATGGAAAAGTTTTTCTGAAAGTTTATTCTGGTGTTCTTATTATTGTGGTTTGTCAATAAACTTTCTTTTTTTTCCCTTTTAAGTTGTATGCCTGTTTTGCTCTTATTCTAATCCATATCTCACAGCAAGAAGTAAATAATTTTCTTAGTTAGTGGTTTAAAACCACGACAGCCTTATATCTCTGTGTGTATAAATAAAGAAAATCAATATTATAGAAATAGATATTAAAAATTTTTAAATGAAGGGGATTATTGTTTTTTATTTGGTTACAGGCATGGCATTTATATCAATAATATAGAAATGAAAATATACACATCTAAAATAAAGAAATGTATATAGGGTGATAGATAGGGAGATAGATAGATAGATAGATAGATAGATATAGCCATAAAATAGAAATAAATACCAGTAATACAAATCTGGACAAGTAAATTAATGATCAGTATGAAAACTATACGGGTAGATGGTAATGTACTTTAATATCTGTTATGCATTATATCTGTGTGTATAAATATAAAAGATCAATATTATAGAAATAGATATTAATTTTTTTAAACAAGGGGCTTTTTGTTTTTTATTTAGTTAAAGGCTTGGCATTTAAATGAATAATATAGATATGAAAATATACACATCTACAATAAAGAAATAAATATAGGGAGATAGATAGATAGATAGATAGATAGATAGATAGATAGATAGATAGAGCCATAAATAGAAATAAGTACCAGTAATCCAGATCTGGACAAGTAAATTAATAATCAGTATGAAAACTATACAGATAGATGGTAATGTACTTTAGTATCTGTTATGCATGATATCTGTGTGTATAAATATAGAAGATCAATATTATAGAAATAGATATTAAAAACATTTAAAACAAGGGTTTAATTGTTTTTTATTTGGTTAGAGGCTTAGAGGCAGGGCTTTTCAATGATTAATATAGAAATGAAAATATACACATCTATAATAAAGAAATAAATATAGGGAGATATATCTTTATATAAATTGAAATAAAAACAAATAAATACAAGTAATCTAAAACTAGACAAGTAGATTGATATTCAATATGAAAAATATATGGATAGACGTTAATATATTTATATTGATTATGCATTATATCTATGTGTATAAATATAGATCAATATTATAGAAATAAATAATAAATACATTTAAATGAAGGGGTATTTTGTTTTTTATTTGGTTAGAGGCAGGGCTTGCTAAGTTTCGATGGGGGGGATTTTTGGGGCGTTCCTTGGAGAAGAGTTTTTGGAAGGGGGTTGTACACGTGGTTTCTTGCCTCGCTTCTCTGCACGTGCAGGGGCGCCCCCCCGCCCGCCCCGGGCTGAGCTCTGCGGCAGTGCTGCCGCCTTGTGGGCAAAGAGCGGTACTGCAGCTGTGCGCCGAGCCGGGCGGGGCGGGGCCGAGCGGGGGCCGAGGAGGTTCGAGCCGAGCCGAAGCGGGCGATGCCGAACCGAGCCGAAGCGGGACGGAAAGAGCCGGCCCCCCCGTCAAGCCCCCCCACTCCGGAGCCGGCCGGGAGGACCCCGGCAGAGGCGTTGACTCCAATGCCTGCCGCCGCAGGCGCGGCCGCCACCCAGCTACGGAGCCGCTGAGCCCCGCCGCCATCGTCCTCGCCCCGGGAAAGGCGGCGGACAATCGGGCGGAGTGCTCGGAGTCGGTCAGCGTCGGCAGGTTTTTCGTTCAGGCAAGTAAGTTAGGCAGACGCGCTGAGAGCAGCGGGGGCCTTAATTGTGACACAACAAAGATGGCCGCTCTACCGGAAGTGGCTTCAGCCACAACAAAGATGGCGGTGATGAAGGGCGGAAGTGATGTCACGCCACACACAAGATGGCTGCCCGATCATGGCCGGCTTGACCTCCCAAGTATGGCGGCCAAAAAGTCGGGAAAATGGAAGGACCCCGGGCAGTGGGTGCATGCTTTCGACTGCCTGACAAACACCCCGGCGCCGACGCCGCTCCGGCGCAATTTTCCGTGGCTTTTCCGGCCGTGCGGACACGGGCTGTGTGCTCGGCGGCGCCGGGGCCGGGCGCCAGCCGGTCGGGTGCCGACAGGCAGCAGTGAAGACGCCTCACTCTGCCGGGGTCCTTGACGCGGCCGCATTCTGGGGCTTCTGGCACTCGCGACGACCCATACCTTGCCGTCGCTCCTCTCGCTCCTTTCTCTCCTCCATGGCCCCGGGAAATGGTGGAAACCCCAATGGCATCGGGACCGAACTGTCGCTCCCCGGCCCTGGGACTGAAGCAGCCCGAGGAGGCGGCTGCTCTGTGTGCCGGAACAGTGAGAGCGGCGGGTGGGGCGGGGGCAGGTTATCAACTGAGTATATACCTGTAAGTATAAAGATGATCAAAATAGATATTAAAAAATATTGAAGATAAAGGGGCTGCTTGGTTTTTATTTAGTTAGAGGCAGGGCTTTGAAATAAATAGGAAAAATAAAAATAAATAAAATATTGAAAGAATGAATATATAAAGGTATAGAGAAATATATATATATATATATATGTAGGTGTAAAAATAAGTAATAGAAATATATACATATATATTGATTTATAATCTATAATATGATTTCTGTACGTATAGATGGTAATATGATATATTTTAGGATATGGTATATGTTATGTATATCAACAAGGTATATAAATATGATAAAAAATATATATTAAAATATTTTTAAATACCGTTTAAGATAAAGGGACTGTTTGGTTTTTATTAGGTTAGCTTCAGGGCTTTTAAATAAATACAACAAAAATAAAAACATAGAAATGTATATTAAGTATATAAAGATATAGACATATGTGCAACCAGAAAAGTAAAGAAATATAAGTAATGCCAATATATACAAACAGATTTATATTTAATATATATGTTATATACATTTATTTAATATATGTATTATATATAATGAATATATATCATAAAAATGTATATAATATATTTAATATATAATATATTAATATTATTATTATTATATAATATATAATAACATACATATACATGTTAAAATAATATATTTTGATACTTTATATATTGCTTGTCATATATAAATGAATATAGTATATAAATTTAAACATGTGTGGTGGAAATAGATGTTAATTTGTTTTTTTTTTTTATTTTCATTGTTTTGGTATGTTTCTCGGAGGCAACCCTTGCAGCTGCTGACAGCACCGGAAACCTGTGTGCTTCGTGGTGTCTATTGCCCAGCTGGCAACGATTCCCTTGTGTTTGGTGCATTAAGTCACACCGAGCTGTGTGGGATGGGTGAGCACATTGCCCGACCCTTTTAGCTTTTCTGGCTCACACACAACTTCCTTTCCTTTTGGATATGGAAAACAGGGAAGAGAGGGTAGTGTGACATTAGCACTAATTTCTAGCAGATTTTTAACTGCCCCTGATGCTCGTTCATTTCTGCAGTGTGGGTTTTCATGCTGACAAATCCTCTGCTTTGCCTTCTGCTCACAGTCAGCTGGGCCCTTTATTGAACAGATTTATCTGCTACAAGGCTACGCAGAAGGATGGAAAGGAGGAACACAGGGGGAAAAAAAACAGCTTCAAGGCCGTCTGATCTACTCTAGAGACAGACGTGGCTATCAGAGGTAACGTAGCAGCCCTTCTGGCCTTTTCATTTGTATTCAGAGAGATGTTTGCCTGCTGTAAATACCTGGGTGCTTGGCGTTCACTCTGATTTCAACAAGCCCATCAATAATAAAACATTGTATTGATAGAACAAGATCTACTTCTGTGAAGTTGTGGCTCCACAGAAAAGCAGCATAGAGAAGGTAGCTGGTTTATTTGTATGATATGTAGCTTTTTTAGGATGTTTTGTTCTTTATAGGGCGTTAATTTCAAAGAGAAGCCTGTGAACTTTGTGTTCCCCTTTAGGGGCTGGTTCTGGGGTAACGAGGAAACACGAGGCCTAAACACCTCTGGCTTGTCTGTCCAAGGATCTGCCTCAACTGTGGCTCCCATCCTTCTGAAGACCTCTTCAGCACAGTGAGTTACCTTCTATAACTATTTATTGTTGTATTGTTGTTGTGAGACCTCATTGCTGGGTGAGAGGACCAGGGGAAATTAAAGGCTGTATGCCACTGTTACTTCATCACTGAATTCTTGCACTCTGTTAAAATCAAAACAAAAAGGATTTACACTGTCAGAAACACTTAACTGTAAGTTAAGGTAAAGGTCACAGTGCTAAAACCTAAGAGCAGATAGCGTTGAGCTCCTTTCTCTTCCCTCTCCAGCAACTTTTGTGACTCCTGCCTCCAAGGTATCATCAGATATCCCCTGGATCTTGCAGTGGAAGAGATGCTGAACCATCAGCTGTTCCATATTCTACACCATGTGTCTTTTTACCATGCTCCTCTGAGAAGCATCTCTCCCGTCTCTGTTTCTTTGCAGACAAGAAGGGAGAAATTGGGATTGCCTTTGTTCTTTTGCCTGTTAATAAAAAGGCCGCTTGTGGCTGTGTGCAGTGGCAACTGCATCACAGAATCTTAGAGGTGATTATTCACAGGTTAAGGAAATAATTCCTTTTTTTTGTCACTGCTGCACTGAATTTCATAGGCATGTCTGTGGCTTGATGCCTAAGATATTTAAAGCAGGTTTTATTCTTACAGGGGTTTTGCACACTAAAGTGTCTGCCCAGGTTTTGTTTCCAAAAATGAGGTATAGTGCTGGGTGTTTAATTTGGTATGTTACTTGTTCTGTTGTGTAAATAACTGCAGCGCCCTCCCTGTGCCTGTGTATTGCAGGGGCAAGCAAGTGCTGGTTATAAAGGCGGTGATAATTAGGAATAAGCTGTTTAAGCTTGGATAAATGTTTAGAAATCATTGCTTAGGGTACTGCATAGATGTACCAGAAGGAACTGCACCCTGGAAGTACTGTGTGTCTGAAACTGACTGCACCTACTCATTTTTAGCTCCTCTTTCTGACTCTGACTCTGACTCTGTTCCTATTCCGACAGACCCGTCTGAGCCTGGTGTTCGCTAAACGCCTCCACGTGGTGGGAGACGAGTCTAGGAAGAAATACCTTCAATCCACAGACGAGGCAGAAAGGACTCAGTACAAGGAGGACTGGACACAGATGAAGGTAAAGTCCTTAACAGTCTATTTCTTCCCCATAACAAGTACTTCATTAGTGTATTCCTGGCCATGCGCTGCAGGGCACGTTGGAAGGTACAGGTGAGCGACACTTCCGCTCGCGTCGAGGCGGACACACGAGTTCCTCGTGCACCTTCTCCCTGCCTGACACGAGCTAACAGAGTCTGCCGAGGTGTGCCTGACCGGTTGTGAGGGCTAGATCTTTGTTGCCCTCATTTCAGTGAAGGAAACGGGAATTCCTTCTTGTATTCAGCACCACGTGTGTGTGTAAAGTTGAGCTGCCACATGCCAGTTGAGAGTTGATTTGGTCAAGGAGAAGAATTTTTGCCTAGGAAGATTTGGCACTCCAGTTTCTCTTGCATGGCAGAGGCCGCACGAGATCTAAATGTTGCTACAAGTGTCCCGAGCTATTTCCAGTACGTACTTAAAAATGTCTGTCTGCAACTGGAGCGATTCTGTGCCTTATCCGGAGATGGTGCATTCTGGCTTTTCAGCGTGCACAGTGACACTCCCAAGTTTTAAAGTGTCAATCTTTCTCTCGTAGGTTAAGATGGGCACAGCTCTAGGTGGCCCATAGCTTGGGGTTCATCTCAGAAGGAGGGACTTCATTTGGTCACAGAGAAGACGTGCCTTCCCTGCAAGGAGCAGGAAAGATAATCCACAGCCTCTCGGAGAGGCATACACTTGAAAAAGTTTTTTGTAGCCACTGATGCTGTTGAGAAAGGTACGTGGATTGCAGTCACCTGAGGATTGGTAACTTTTGACAGTGAGCGCAGCACTTGCCACTGGCTCCCCTCCCTGGCTGCCATGCTGTGGGTTTTGGCAGCTGCATTGTAAAATTTGTTGGTAGATTTTGGAGTCGCTTCCCCTGTAAGCATTCAGCCAGGGTTCCCTTAAACAAACACACTGTGTGGCAGCAGCGTGTTGCTCTTCATAAAGTAGAGATAAATTTCTGTGCTTCCTTTTTTAAGCGACTGAACTGCTCAAGAAACTGCTGCCTGAGATGGTGAGGTTTGAAGCCTCTCTGGAGGAGCTGGAACTCTCTAAGGACGGGGGCTCGTGATTCACCCGGATTTGCGCACATGCAATGTAGCAAACCTGACTTTTATTTCAGCCAAAGCTTAATGTCACTGTCAGAAAACTGAATATGATTTTTGGCCCATAGTTGTTTACGAATGGTGTAAGCCATTATATAATCAAGTATATCATTGAGATGTGTCTAGTAGATGTATTACGGTTATATTGTGTGTGTGTGTGTGTATATGTGATGATTTCATTATCATACCATTTCACTGAACAGTCAAGTTCATTGGAGTGAAATCTGATTACTTGCATTTTAAAAACTTGCCCACCCCAACCCTTTTTGATTTTTTTTCACAGGTATTTTATAGGCATATTTCAACATTTTCCTTCCTAATCCACGAGTAAAGGGAGATGTTGGGATTTGATCCAAAAGATCTTACAACCGATTTTGTGGTGAAACAGAGAAAAACCGTGAGCAGCCGACTCAGTGGAAACCTGCATGTTAAACGCAGAGAAGCACAAAGTGTTTGATGCTGTTAGAGTTCAAAATAACAAGGAAAAATGATGGGGAATTTACCCATACTTGGAACAAAGTATGACCCCATCCCATACTCTCAGCTCCCGCTCCCCTTCCAGCGTGGCTGTGACCCGGGCTGGCCGTACCGCTCGGTGTCTCTGGATCTCACAGCATTTCTACGTGGCTGCTGCACCCGGGTCCCCAGTACGTCCTGCTCTGGCCGCCTTCCCCGAGCGGTCCCACGTGCACCAAGCGGGTGCTACAGACCACAGGGGCCTCTTGGCTGCAGAGCTGGGTGATGGGAGACAACAAAGCAATGCCCAGGATGCAGCTGTTCAAGCCAGCCTCGCCTCACGGAGCATTTCTTTCTCACCTGTCCATGGTTCTCTCTGTGTGTCTGTGCTCCTTTTTAAACTGCAGGGCTGGGAGGCCTGGCCATTCCACCGGGACTGCTCACCTTGGGAGCATCAGTCTCTACCTTGGGATTAAGCAAGCTGCCACCAGAATAAAAGCAGGGTGGAGCTGCTCCCACTCCAAGGCAAGAGCCTGCAAGGCCCATCCTCTGGGGACTCGTCTTTTGTGTGAAGGCACATTGTCTAGCAGAGGAAGAGGTTGGTACCTGGTGGAGCAGGGCCAAGATTCCATTTTCCCCAGGCAGCTCCCCCTGCATGCTGTAGCGCTGGCCAGGACTGGGAGAGGAGGGGGAGTGTGTTCAGCACTGCTGCTGGAACGGAGTGGCCCTCTCAGGAGGATCCCGGTTGCTTCAGGGCCTTACTTTTCCACTGGTTTGTGTCCACAAAGGAAAGGCATGCAGAAGGCAGCACCATCACCCCAGCCCTGCAGTCAGGAGTCCATCAGCTTTCCCCACAGTGAACGTGGTTAAGGTCTCCTTAACCAAAGGAAAACTCAGCACCACTACAGATGTACAGAACAGCAATTTATCCACTGGGGCCCTCTGACACACTTTGCCCATTATGTGTCCAGAAGACTCCAAGTACTGACTTTACATGTCCACAAGCGTGGCCAAAGCCACACATACAGAGCAACACCAAGTTCTCACGGTGTACCAAGAGAACCAAAGATTTAATAACATTATTTCTTAGACAACTGTTGGGGATGAAGTCAAATGTAAAGAAAAAATGGAAATGTAAAAAATCATGGATGTTAGTGCACACAGATACAGAGTTTCTGCTTTTGAGCTCCGCAGATGTTTTTTTCTTTCCTCTTTCCCTTCTTGTGTGAGCTGCCTTTGAGTCAGTTATGTTATGTTGAGCTCTTGTGGGCAGAGAGCGGTACTGCCACTGTGCCCCGAGCGGGGCCCTGCCCCGCTCCGCTGGGTGACAGGGGGGAGGCAGCAGCGGGAGCAGCAGCAGTTCCGCGG